AGTACAAGCTGTTTTTAAATGATATTTTCTAAGTGTTCAACATAAAATATTTAAATTTAATTCATTATTCATGATTTCACGTATTATACCAACCCTTCCCACAGACATTCTTTTGTTTGGAATGTCTAATTATATCCTTAAATGCAATAAACGGGGTGTGGAAGTATATGAAAGATCAGGCTACCTTAAGTCCAAGATTTTTAAACCAAGATCCCAAGAGATTTTTTGTGGAGACCACTTATGGAATAAAACTATTTTTTGGCGTCATTTGAGAAACTTATTAAAAATGTTTAGACACGGCAATGAATCACATTTTTGTTATAAAAGTGTCATCCCAGATTTCAACAGCTTTAAATATTTTAAATACTCTAAATTAGTGATGACAATTTTAATTTCACTGAAAATTACACTGACAGTAGACTTATAAAAATAGGCTCATTGACATTTTATTTTTATTATTTTGAAGATTGTATTCATTTAAACATTCAAAATAACTTAGTTACATTCCTTTAAACTACTTTTTGTGACCTGAAAACAATATTAAAAAAAACTAGAACCGTACCTATATGTCAAATTCAATGACAGAATAGCTTATTTTGTTGAATGTTTGGTTAGAAGTTAAATGTCAGTGGAACTAAAATATACGTCACACTAATATGGCGTATATCAATCTGGAATTCCAATATCACTGATCTGCCAGAAACATCCCAATGTTCTATGTGTTTTTATGTTTCTGACAAAAATGGTACGTCCCTACGATGTTTCTAAAGAATCGTTTCTGGAATTATTTCTCAAGAGCGTTTTAGAAACATTGTAATTATGTATAGGTATTCTTTTTCGTTTTAAATATTATTTTGTAATTTTAATAAATTACTGCAATCACTAAAAGTCTACAATAATATCAAACTCCAATATTAAATTTGAACATTTTGAACCATAATATTTTTAACCGACTTCAAAAATTCATCAAAATATTTTTTTATGTTCAGCGATAATTATTTAACACGGTGTCCGATTTCAATGATTCTTTTTTTGTTTAGAAAAGGGGTACTTCCAGGAGTGGTCCCATATTAATTTGGTAAAAATCTAATAATTGGGTCCATTAGAAAATCCTCAAACTCTTTATTTTTAATGTATGTTTAGCGGTAATTCTTTACAACCTTGTCCAATTTCTATGATTTTTTTTTGTTAGTAAGGAGGTACCTCAGGGGTGGTCCCATATAAATTTGGTCAAAATCTTAATAATTGGGTCCATGAGAAAAATCCTCAAACTCTTAATTTTTTATGTATGTTTAGCGATAATTTTTATCACCTTGTCCGATTTCTATGATTCTTTTTTGTTAGTAAGAGGGTACCTCAGGGGTGGTCCCATATAAATTTGGACGTTGGGATGCCTAATAAGAGCCAATTGATAGATTATTTGGAAGGGGTTTTCTAGGTGATATAAGAGCACTTAAATATTTAAAATATTCGCGCAAAAAATATTTTGTTTCGTAAGTGGTATACTACTGTATAATGTACAAATATATTTTAAATTTCCCGCGGTTCTCGCTAAATACCGTATCTGTTTTCACTTTTCGTTGTCTCTGTACGGATGTTAAAGTTAGAACACTGCCTTAATGTTTTGAAATAGATTATACTCAAAAAGTTAAATCAATTTGAAAAATATCTTGAAAGTTTATATTTATTATGTTTATAAAGAGGCGGTGATTTTTATTTTTTAATTTATAAAATAAATGATAACGATGGTCATAAATATTACCAACTTAACATATTAATCTTGAGTAATTAATTCAATACAAATTATCGGAGTTAATTTATTGTATTTTTAGTTTTTTTGATATTGCATTCGAAATGTTATTTATTAAATTAAACGTAAAGTTCTCTCTTTCTAGATTACATACATTGTAAATTAAATTAATTTTGAAAAGTAAACATTTTTTTCCTTATCATTATTACAATTTTGCCTTGATTAGATCATGTTCTAGATAAGGATTACATGTTTATTTTTGAAAAACTTAATTTCTTTAAGAAAAACATGTAATAAGAAACATCTAGCATAACATTTTAAATGTTTTTTATCAATAACTAATTAACTAATTTACTTTAATGCAAAATTATTCTGTATAAAAAGTTTAAGGAACGTATTATTTACTGGTCCCAAAACAAATCTTATAATTACAAAAATTGAACCTCCGACACTGCTCACTGTTTTAAGATATTAAGGGCCCTCTTCTATTAATTTTAAAGGCCCGACAGGGAGGCTAGCAACATTATTAATAAAGGGATAAATATAATAGGTAAGTTTTCGACTTTAAGTGCCAACAATTTCAAAAACTACCATCAGTTTTTGGCGATTTTAACCTTTACGACGTAGTTTTTGATTATAATTACGCCATACGTATTCAAAATAGACTAAATTTGCAACAATTTGAGATCTCTGCAGACCAAATAATTTCCAAAATACAGATTTTTAAAATGTATCGTATTTTAGAAGATGTAATTATGTCGAATAAAGTAGATAAGAAGAGACAAATGGAAGAAGACCTCAAATTAGTTCAGTAACCGGTATCTTGTAGGTCATTTTTTTCAGTAGCAGTACCACATTATAACAGCCACCCACCTACCTGGAAAGGGCCTCGAGTCATCTTCATCGTTTGGTTTATAGATAACGACGATCTACCCGATATCGAGATGTTTAAGAATGTATTGTGCACTTTATGTAGATTCCAGAAATTAAACAAAACAATGATAAAAAACTACTAGACTAATCCAATCATTCATAATTAAGCCCTTGGTTATTGCAAGCATTCAGACTGTTTTATATTACACAGACAGAGTTGTCGTATCAGCTGCCGCATTAGAAAGAGCGAGTCGGTTGCTAAATTGGTGGGGATGCTTTGTGCAAGTTTGTTTTAAGAATAAATCAGTCCTGCTTTACACTGTTGCCACACTGTAAACAAATGGTGCGCTTTTCTGTAAATCATCTTCAGCTGCAATAATAGTTGCAACCAGAAAAATACATAAAACGGACAATAACTGGCATTAGAAATGCAAAACTATTTCATTGATGTAATGTTTAAAGCCTTTTATGCTTTTTAGCGCCTTATTGTTTTCAAATGACGTCGATTTTTTTTTTAATCTTCGTCACTGAATTAAGAGTTTCTTGCTGTCAACTGGAAGCGGAATGGACTGTAGGTTTTTATAACTTGTCGAATGTATGATTTTTGTTGGAGAATTGCTAGATACTTATTTTGGAATGTTGAAATTAAAATGATTACTTCAGTTAACAAATTTATTCAACACTATAAACTTTGCATTGTATTACATAACAACTTTACATAATAAATTGTATAAGTGCTTAAAACTTTATGACGGACATGCAGGTTTGAAACATATTTCATTTGTTTTTAATAAAAATGACGAGCACGTAAAAGAATAAAAACAAAAGGAGTATCTCTGTTGAAAGTCGAAGTAAGTCTCTCTGTTTGTTTATCGAGTGAGGGGTCAAAATGTTAGCAGCTGTGTGTATCGTTGTGATTGGTTGAGGAACGAATCATAAGAGTACAAACTGTTTTATAATTGGTTATTAAAATCGTGGCCAGACAGTTATGCCTGATTAACACAGACAGAGATAGCGTGTTTATTGTAACTATTAAATACACATATGCGCTTGTTTTAACGATTTATTTTAACTATACCCATGCAAGGGCAAGAGAGATAAATTTACGAGTTGGAAAGAGTTCGCACTTGTATTTAAATTACTGCAAATTTTCCATATAATTCAAAATTCATTATGCTACATTTACTGCTACCAGGGTTGGCTGTTGATTTGCGTAAGATTTTTAAATTTGGTAATGTAATGTACTGATTGAATAATAAAATATATTGTTGTTCTTGTGTTTACTATATATTATTTATACGGGGTGGATCATAAAGAGAGTAACTGAAGTATTTATTAAAAAATGCTTGTCATTAAAAATATTCGTCCGAAAAAAATTGATAAATTTGGAAAACCTGTATTTCGGAAACTATTGAGTCTACAGAAACAGTTCTAGGCTCAAATTGTAGCAAATTTAGTCTATTTTAGAAGGTGTAGTTATGGTCTAAATCTAGTCTTTCAGAGTCAAAATCGCCAAAAATGAAGAAAGGTGGAAATTTCGTAGTTTCTTGATTTTTTTTGGACTTGGCAATGTTGCGTTCGGCGCTCAAGGTCGAAAACTTGGATAATTCATAAGGCAAACAACTCACTAAACAAATTAAAACTACCAGATCTGACTCAAGATCTGATTCATATGGTTACTGGACTATAATATACAACCAACAAAATGTTTAGGAAAGTTGAACAACATTATTAAAACACACTTATTGTTTACTGGTCTAAAAACAAATATTATTCTTACAAAAATTGAACCTCCGGCACTGATCCTTATTTCAGGATATTAAAGACCCACTAAGCATTTATCCAATTAACTTTAAAGACCTACAGTGTGGCTAGAAAAATTAATAATAAAGGGATATGCGAGTATAACAAAAAATATTTGGTATCAATGTCATAAAGGCAGACTATAATAATTCTAATTATGCAGTGCAATAGTGATGACGTAAAAAATGAGCCAAACAAAGTTGTTAATAGATTAAATATCTAGTTTTTGAATTGTTAATGCTTCATTTAAGTGATTTTTAGGTCTTAAAATAATATATTCCTATAGTAAGTAGATAACATTTTAGTTAAATAAATCATTAAGTAATGAATTCTGCAAAAAAAAATTAAAAATAGATGATGGGTGTCCATTTACATTTTATTTCGATTATTATCAAGATTGTTTCATCTAAAAGCATACTATTGCAATAACTAATTAAAATCATTTAATTACACACCTTTAAATTACTTTTTACAATCTACAAACAATATTTTTAAATATACTCGAAACGTTCACGTTTAAATCTGTTTGGCTCACAGACGTCACGCTAATGTGACGTATTATTCGTGTACCCACCTTCTACGTAAGCGAACGACAAATTGACACAACCAGGATATGTCTCGACGTCATCTCCGTTTCTGATTACGTGAGTCAAAGACCCACACAGGCGATCGATCAATCGCTTGCTTAATTTTTCAACGTGGGCGTGATCGTACGCCATTTCCTGCTTCGCCAATCGGCAAGCTTCTCCGAATCCCACAGCCAAGGGGGCTGGTACGGTACCGCTACGAATGCCCCTTTCTTGCCCGCCCCCACTCTGGATGGCTTCTACTCGCACCCTGGGTCGACGCCTGATGTATATCGCACCAATACCTTGAAAACAATAATACCCATATTTTATCTGAAAATTTAAATCTCCTATTGATCCTTTAGATTATTTAAACGATACCCATGTTTACTCCAACTTTACTCTTGAAAAACAGTTTGATACATTACTTACAAACTTTTTTTTGTTAAAATGTGGATTCACCCTAGATTCGTTCACGGTAACAATCCTGAACCGATTCAGAATTATTAATTCATATTTTGAGCGCATGCCCGATTCTATATCATATCTGAATTTTTACAGCATGCGCATTCCCTATTACAGTCTGTTCGCTATACTTACGCGGGTTTCGGATTAACAAAATTATGCAGATTAGTCATTGACAACCAGTTCCAATAAGCCTCTTCCCAAGAAATTAGGTAAAATTACCCTAATGGTCAGATTTAAATTAAAGTAACATTAGGGTAGGTACTAAATTTGTTACAAATATTGCAGTTGAATTGATTCTTTGCAAGTGTTGACATTGTATGTATATTGTAAATTTAGTGGAAATTTTAAAAATGCCTAGACATGTGTTAGATGTAGATAGTCTAATTTGTAGTGTACATAAGTATTTTACGGATGTCAAAGAAAATGGCGGTCCTTTAAAATCGGTAATGTCTGTACAACAACGCGTATGCGATGCTCTAGGAATTAGTGAAACCAAATTAAGAGGAGTATTACAAAATCACAATATTGAACTGCCGAAAGATCACCTCAAAACTCGCCCATCAATGAAAACGAAAGATATTCCAGATGGAAAGAAATTTGAAATTCGTGATACCATTTATCAAATGACGGTCAACAAGGAACATGTGACCTTAAATACAATTCTCTCGGAATTAATAGATAGAAAATTTGACGATATTGGCAGAACAAGTCTATGGCAAGTGATACATAACTTGGGTTTCAAATTTCAAAAGGAGGATAACAGAAAGGCCCTTTGTGAAAGAAGTTCTGTCGTGCACAAGAGAATTAACTTTCTAAGAAAATATTCTAAATTTAAAGAAAACGGGGCGAATTTTATATATTTAGACGAAACATGGATGCAACCAAGAGAATATGGCAAGATGATAACGTAAAGTCCATCAAACATACCGATGGAGAAGGGAAGCGACACAATTTTACATGCAGGAGGGAAATCGGGTTTTATAGAAGGTGCTGATTTAATTTGTTCATCTAAATCAACCTCCAGTGACTATCACGATAATATGAACACAGAAATGTTTGTAAAATGGTTGCATGAAAAACTTCTCCCAGGTTTAAGTAAGCCCAGCGTAATTATTTTAGACAATGCACCTTACCATTCTGAAGTATTAAACAAAAGTCCAACGAATTCTTAGACTGTTAATAAAATTAAAAAATGGTTGACAAATGAACATATACCATTTCCTCAATATATATTAAAATCAGAACTATTACGCTTGGCAAATATACACGCAAAACCAAAAACCTTTGTGGTGGATCAGATTATTGAAAGTTACGGTCATCAAGTTTTACGTCTGCCACCGTATCATTGCCAGTTTAATCCCATCGAATATATATGGGGAATAGCAAAACAATATTATGACAATCATGTTGGGCCTAATGGTTATAGTGACGACGCAGTTCGGGAAACTTGGCGAAAAGCACTTTCAATTGCAACTCCAGAAGTGTGGCAGAACTGTATATCCAAGTGCGAGAAACTAATAGAAGATTGGTGGACTCGTGAAAATAAAATAAACGAAATAAGTCCAATCATAATAACAATTAATGGTGATGACAGTGATGATGATGAGATTATGATATTTTGGACGATAATGACTGATTTTCATTTTTGTTGGCAAGTTCAATTTTTTTATTTTTCATTTGAAATTCTCTACATGGAACACATTTTTTTGTTAGAAAATATTTTATATGAGCTAAATAACCCTCTTATTATATATACACCATATTTTCTGTGTGAAGTGTAATATAAAATTATTATTAGGTTTATAATAGCCACATTAGAATCCATTAATGAAGAAGTTTAATTCTGCTCTCAATTATACAAAAGATTCTTCATTATTATTTAATTAAAAAGTTGTACATTATTTTTCATTTCATTTAACCAGTTGATATTTCCCCAAAGAATAGGTCAAACTTTCGGGTACTTACCTGGAAATACTCCTAAAAATTTTTAATCCGAAACCCACGTAAGTATAGCGAACAGACTGTATATCTCGGTGTTTCAGGTATAACATAATATGGTTCAAAACCAATAACAATTTTACCGCGAATGCAGGATAGAACCAATAATTCAAGTTTTTTTTGTTCCGCGAACGTTTTTTAACAACTGCGCATGCGAAATCGGTACTGTTAGTCAAAATTCGGTTCAGGATTCTTACCGTGAATAAAGCTTATAAACTGCATTTTTTCCTAATACTCTTTAAAAGACAGCGAAAATCATTTCAGAAAGCAGGGCTGGAACTCTGTGTCATGTAGAATTCTACTTATCGCTTTCTACAATAGATTCTTTTGTGGCACTCTGTGTAACATAGCGGAAAACCAACGAGTATATACTTACTACAGGATAATTAGTTTCATAAGAAACCACATTGCGATATTTCCCGTGCGGTTGATAACGTATTTATCACAAAAGAAAGTAATCGATTCCATTGTAGAAAGCGATAAGTAGAATTCTACATGACACAGAGTTCCAGCCCAGGAAGAAAAGATATGTATGTTTTTAATTCTTATAGCTTTAAAGGCAGATAATACCACAAACGCACCCTTAAAAAATAAAATTACTAAATTAATATCCTATATACAGGGTGTTTCATAAGTTTAATTTCACTAGACATCATGCAGTTGATTTTTGCATCAATTTTAATTAAACTTTTTAATATTTAGTCTCCGATATTGATATGTACAACACAATACCCTTTGTTTATTGTCCCTAGTGCAGACAAAAAAATTGATTTGATGTTGAATATAATATAGGAATCCATAATACATAGAAATAGTAATTTCTAAAGAGTGCAATTGAACGATTTTACTAGATCTGTTTTAAAGCGACTTAAGGATTTATCTGTTTTGCAATGCTTTCAATAGATATTTTTCTTTTTAAAAAACTATTAATGAATATAGGACCCACAATAACAACTGCAACAAACAGCATAAACTGAGAGAGGCAATCGATATTAAAAATACAAACATTTGAATTTAAAAAATATATATACCCTGTATTTCTGAAAAAATACAGTATAAGCTACGAGTTAAATTTTATACAATTTGTTTCATCTAAAAATTTAAATAATTATCTCAAGTAGGTAATGGGTATATTTTAAATTTATCTTTAAGTTATTTTAAATGAGTAAAATTTAATTTTGTATTGCGAAATTTTATTTTTTTATTAACAGAGACAAAAATAATGAAGTATTAGGATTTTATTATTAAAAATGTGATATTGTATTTTTGTGTATTCTTGTAAATATTCAGTGTACCTACCTTTAGGCCCATAAATTTTATGCCCACTAATTGACATGAGATCGATATTCATAGAATTAACATCTAAATGGATTTTTCCCACAGCTTGTGCAGCATCTGTATGGAAAAATACTTTTTTCTGCTTGCAAAGTACACCAATCGCATCTATTGGCTGTTTTACTCCTAAAAAAATTATTTGGATTCATTCAATTTATTGATTAAAATTAAGTCTTCATGCTTCTAAATGTCGCTTATAGACTTCTAATGCCTTAATTTTTCACAAAAAATATCAATTTCGTTTTCAAGTCAATAATTTATTGACTTCAAGAAAAATTAAGATAATAGAGGCTTTAAAACATACCAAAGAAATTAAAATTAAAAAATTATTCCAAAAAAGCGTAAGACTTGAAAAGTAGATGTCACAAAATATTGGAATTAGAGAATACATCAGTTTCTACAGGGAACCTGAGAACTCAGAAAGTTTAATTTTATTAGACAAAAATAATTATGCACACTAAGTTCTTTTAATAAAGTAAAACAAAACATTTAAATATTAAATACATACCTATTTCATTATTCACTGACATTATAGATACAATAGCTGTCTCAGGTGTAATAGCTTTTTCTAACTCTTCTAAACAAATAATACCATTTGTTTTAACAGGCAGGTATGTAACTGTAAAACCTTCACCCTCTAGAGCTCTACAAGAGTCCAATACACATTTGTGTTCCTGAAGCAATAAAAACTATCAAAAGACAGGAAAGCAGTGGTCAAATTTACAGATAGTTTATAATAAAAATAAATAAAAAAAATTATTTATATATTTTTAAATTGATAAAACTACATTGTATTTATCAATAAAAAGTATTAAGACAATAAACATTTACATACAAATTATATCCCATATCATAGTTATCTTTTTATAACATAAAGTAAAATTTGGAAGATACTTTTTTTTAACTGAATATAAAAGAAATAATAAACAACTTTGATAAATTAACTCAAAAATACGAAATTTTCATCAGATAACGTTCATTAAGTTCATATCGTTGTGAAAACCATTCACAAAACTGAGCTCTGCAAGGGAAGTCTTCAAGTTGAAGGGTAAAGGGATATAATTGCTTTCCCGCAATGTTGTCCACACTTTTTTACTTACTCCAACCTGATTTTCACCCGCGTACTTGTTAGATTTTCCTGGATATCATTTTTTTAAATAGGTTCTTCTAAACTCACTTCATTTTCAATTTACTATAATCCTAAACGATTTAAACACACTACTGTTTTAGAATTTTTAATTCCGTATCTTTCCTATTTTTGAGTTTATTTGAAAAAAGTTATTTTAACGACTTCTACACAGTTAAAAAAAGTACTAACTGAGGATTCACCCTGTATTTAAAGTATTTCAAAATGTCCATAAGATAAATTTTCAAAAGGTTTTCTTAGGATGATAAATTACATTTTTTATGTAATAATGATGAAAACCCCTTCTGATCATTATATGTTGAGTCTAAGAGCAGTCGGCGGCTTGTGGTATGTACGCCACAAATCCAAAGTATTCCAGCATATTTTCTCTCTCTCTCTCTCTCTCTCTCTCTCTCTCTCTCTCTCTGCCTACTACTCAATAGAATTAAAAAATATTTTCTAACAAATTTCATGTGCTGATGTAATTCTTGTCAGTTGGACATGCTATTTGACATACAAGAACCAACAAGTCGCCTGTATCGTCTTCCACGATACATTCCGTTCTTGTCACTCCAATTTCGAACTTCAATACAACAGTACCCCTCGAAGTCGGAGTATATCATTCTCGTCAGACACTCTTTTTTGTCCTTTCTCAACTCACTCGTTTGCAAACGATAACTACTAACATGAAGTCTTAAATTTCCTAGAAGCAAGTAAATTGTTCAGTTTTAAAGTAGTGTAAATATGTATATAATTGTTTTGTCGTTTTTGTTTTCAAATAAGTGAATCAAACAATGTGCCGTTCTTCAGCCTTTTATTTCATGGCCAAAAGGTTCTTTTCACAAGGTATGATAATGTTCACATACTTACTGGTTTCAGCAGATGAATAAACAATATTTAATCTTCAAAATTTTATAATAATACTATTCTAAGTCTTTATTTAGCATGGCTGACATTTTCCAAGGTTCGAACATCCCAGTAGACCACCAAATGTTACCTCTGGTGGGAGTATACACAAGTATAATATTATACTATCACACTTACTCCAACACTTATTTATTCTGCATACAATTTAATATACTAGTATACGAGGTATCTTTAATTTTAGGGACATACATATTTACGGCCGTAAGCTGGATGATGAGAAACAGGGCTTATTATAAGAGCATATAATTGAAAAGTTTTGTTTTTATTTGTCATTCATACATGTTTCAATACTAAATGAATATTTAAATCAATAAAACTAAATGAAACTTCACAATAATAAATATTTTTCAACATTCACTACATCAGGTGCTTCGTCAGAGTTCAGGCACTAAAAATATTAGACAAAACTGATAAGTACTATGCCAGATATTTTACTGTTCAGTATAACATAATACTCAGGCATAAAATATAGTCCTCGGATCAGATAGATGTTTATGCTTAACCCAGGATGTTACAATGGTGAAAAATGTCAGCCATGCTAAATAATTTTTTTTTTATAATAATTGTCATTTATTGAACTGAAAATTCAGTCCAATAGGCTATCGACCAAAGTCCTTCTGCCTCCATGCTAAATATGTGCTTAGAATATAGTTATTAACATCATATATAAATTTCAGCTTTATCAAAATATCCTAAATAATTTTTTTCGGACTTCAATAAAAAAATTCAATTATTACTTAATACTAAACTTATCATTTGACTGACTTAAGTGTTGAAGGTGGTTTATTTTTAAAATGAAAGTTGCCAATTAATGTATTATCTTTCAAATGATTTTTGTATAGTGTTTTTCATAGTTGTCTGCCAATGTTTTTTTGAATGACAATAAATAAGTATTTTAAAATATCCAAGTGGCACCCTTGTAACTAACATTGAACTACATAAAAATTTTACACCTTCCTTACCTGAGTGACTTAATATGAACCACAAGCTAAACTAATGAGTCCCTATCTCATGTGTGACAGGTATAAGGGAGTAAAAGAAAAAATATAATATTTTTCAAAATACCACAAATCTGCCAGTCACTGGCTCTTAAGACTATTAAGGCTGCATTAGGGTATAAATATTTGACTGACAAATAACCCTTTAGCTTACAGTGAGTAAATATTCTGTACTAGTTTTTGATGGCAGAGTACCAACATAAATAAAAGGTATGTTCCAATGATGATCAGAACCAAAGCACAAGTCACTCTGCTCATTGCTTAGAATATAATTTGGCGATCCCAATAATCTAATGTGCAGAATCTTGGTGTCACTGACTGGTTTCTGATCCTTGTTGGATAACACCTAATGAAAATGATTTAAAAATGACATTGTCAATGTAATATTTTGTATTTAAATATGGGTTAGCATTGCCATCTAAAATTATTGTTTTTTTTAAAGTGAATTCATCAAGTGAAAACCGCATTTTTGAAGATAATTTATGATGGGAAGATTAGAATATAAAGAAGTTAAATATCAGGTAAAATATAAGAAATATTTATATAATAGGCAATATATCTACTGACCGTTTGTGTAGTAATGATATGTTTCTTTTTCTCTTTATAAAATCTGGCAACCCCTTTTATAGCAATATTATTGCTTTCTGTCGCTCCAGAAGTAAAAATAATTTCACGAGGGTCTGCACCAATTATGTCAGCTACATATTCTCTAGCTTTTTCAACGGCAGCTTCGGATTCCCAGCCATAGGCATGTGTTCTAGAATGCGGATTTCCGTAATAATGAGTTAAATAAGGAAGCATCGCATCCAACACTCTAGGATCCTGTAAAATATAAATCTTAGGTCATTAAATCAAATGTAGAGTAAGTAATGAATGGTTACCGTTGGTGAAGTGGCTTGTACGTCCAAATAAAGGGGTCTCCCTTCGAAATTATCCTTAATTTTGTATTTATCATCTAAAATTAAAATAGATACAATAACATAACCTATAAATATTGTTACATTTTACCTTCTGCATTACTACTTAAATTTCTTAATGATGTAAAAGACTTTTTCTCGTTTAAAATTGTCGATATGGCGTTTCGGAATTTTGTTACTTGTCGGTACATTTTACTTTTCTTTTTATATTACACCACAAGTTGTAAGCCAATATTAATTCCAATTTATAAATGAATAGAAATGAAAATTTAGGTCAAAAAAATGTCAGGAATGTCAGCATGACATTAGCCGAGTTCGGGTATATGTTCCTTGGTCACTCTTCTGAAGTTAGTAACAGAGCGATCGGAGTTCAGGAATTTATTTTCTGAACTCAACTCGTGTGTTTATATTTTTTGTTCCTTTGGCCCACGGTTCATTTTCTTCTAATCTATGGCCCACGGTTCGTAGCGTAGACAACACGATAGCCCCATCACGGTTGCAAAGGACGCAGTGACGTCACGGAATGAAAAAGTGATTTGACAGAAAATATTTTACTTGAAATCGAAAACACCTTTGGTGTCGTACATTAGTTTTTTAAGAGGGTTCTATACCCGTTAGCCATATTGGAAATGTTAATGTTCAAATTAATACTCACAAAAAAAATCTTTTTTTGTATCCGAGCTTCTTATGCATAGATTACTAATGTGAATAGATGGGAAACTCAATGGTAAAATTCTGAGTCGATGTGCTGCCATCTATCAAATTGGAGTGGTACTAAAATTCAATATGGCCGCCACGAGCGGGCTTTTTGAAATTTAACTTTGTAGTAGCGCAAAAATGTAATGAAGAAAATCAAATAAAGCAAAAAGATTGGAAAAATATTTGACTAGTTTCAAATCATAAAACAACCGTATTGACTGTTTTGTGATTTGAAACCAGTCAAATAGTTTGCCAATTTATATCTTTATTTGATTTTACTTCATTATATTTTTGCATTAATTTCAAACTTGAAATAAAATGCAATTTATTATTTATTTTTTATTACAGTAAATTATCGCCGCATCATATAATTTGTCTATTTAAACATGGAAACAAATATACATTTACACCATTTAAATAATTAAATAGTTATAAAACAAACCTATCAAAAATGTTTTCTGTAACAAAATCAGTATATTAAGTGCTCAAGATCTTTATAAAAGTTTTGCGACTTGGAGTGGCAAATAAGTTTGAAAAAATTGAAGTGAAGCATCATCCTTTTTTACTATCGAGGCAAATTTGAGTGTGGATAAAATTTGCCATACGGTTATTGAGTCGACTAGTTAGGTTGAGGAGCATTTCTTCATCCGATAATTGTTTTCGTGATTCATTTATACAGCACTTGTAGTTATCAAATTTTTATTCATTATGTGGTCACCCTGATAAATGAATTTAACTTTTGAGTATAAATTAAACTTACACACGTTTGGACCGTTGACGATTTTAGGGTGTTTTCTTGTTTGATGTCAATGGCATTGAATCAATTTTTGGTATTGATAGCTGAGGCTCAAATATTTCATCGATCGACAGGGTATTTTGGAGGGCCAACATTTTCTTTACAACAATGATAATTTAAAAACTGAAAACAAAAAGAAATTTAAATAACAAACCAATTATTTTAACACTGAATCAAAAACAAGTTTGTAAATATTACTTACCAAACAGTGAGGGGTGCATTTTTCTTAAGACACTTATTACAAATTATTTGGATATCCTTAATATGACGACTGCATATTTAATGTGGTATAAATTGCATTACTACCAATACCTGGGAGTGCTTTATTGTTTGTTGCTGAAATCCATCTTTCCATCGTTTGAAAACATGCTTAAAATTGGAAGGTGTTAAAAAATAAATCAAAATTCAATACACCTTCAAATACAATAACCAATTAGGCATTCCAACGACCTGTCCAAATGGCTACCAGTGGGTAATGACAGTTTAGATATGGCAACCCTGTTGTCATGTTGTCATTAACAGGGTCAATGATACATATATAGTTATATAGATTGCTCAAAGCTGGTCGTTTAAGAGCGGCCATATTGCCTGGCAAATATTTATTAATTTGAATCGGTTTAGAAAAAATGTGTTTTAAAACTAATTTTTAGCCTTTAGACATTAAAAAAAAATAATTGCTTACATTTTTACTTCAAGGCATAAGCTTATGTTTATTTTGAAAAATATGGATGATCAATCTATGTAACTATCTATTTCATTGACCTTGTCAAATCACCAAGCCTACAGGGTTGCCATAATTTTGCTATATCATAACCCGTCAAAACCCACTGGTAGCCATTCAGTTTGGAATGCCTAATAGCCATTTTAATTACTCAAAGTTTGAAGTTTTGACAAGCTGACAACTGACATTACATTTCGATACGAGCACCATCCCGTTAATTGGAGTGGTTCTAAATTACCAACCTCAAGTTTTTCCATTTGAGTTACCAGCCCCTGTTCTTATGCAACGTAGATTGGCGCATGATAACTTTTTTATAAACATAAAAAAATAAAAAGAAAAAAATATAAAAAAAGTCATATACGTATAAATGTTATCATCCGCCATTCTTCATTTGCCACTGAACAACTTGTGTATTTACCATTTTTGAAAAAGTAAGTAGTTTTTTCTAAAATTGAACATTGCTTAAAATTTTCAGAGGGTACCGGGAGGTGCTGCCCCCAACGGTCCTCTTTTACGTTTGAATACCATGATAATCAATATTTTCTATGCCAGATGGCGCACCAGTCGCGAAATTCCAAACAAATGAACTGTCAGAGGGAAGATTTGATGTATCCAAGGTTTGCGACATACCATGTATTCTGTTTACAATACGTAAAATCATGAATAATAGATTACATTTAAATATTTTATGTCAAACACAATAAAAATAATAATAAAAATAAGATACATTTTTTCATAAATTGGCAGGCTTGGTGACTATTATTTCGAATAAAAAAACCGTCAAGATGCAAGACTAATGTCTTTACCCCTTAGATATACCAGACCTTCTTACTGACAGCCATAGATCTGACAGGTCGATGGAATGCCAAATTGGTTATAGTAAGAGAGCCCACTGCCCCGGTGAATGACATCCCACTGCAAATTACGACCGCCATCTGATAACAAAATGAAATATGCCCCAAAGACATGTAACAACGTTGTACTTTACCAAATTGCAACTGTGCCAATCTCTAATCCTGAGCTAAGTGGTTAAAAAAAATTATTTTATATTCAAAAAATCACATAAGACACGACAGCGATAATTGTGTTTTCCCTGAAAATTACAATCCTAATTCATTATAAACCTAGCTTTTAAACCTGAATTATAAATATTTTTACCTACCTTTTGCAGAGATAGTCAATAATAATTATAAACTCTTGTTAGACAATTCTTTTAAACCATAATCATTGTAGTTTTTTTGTCGTTTCTATGGAAACCTTTAAAAATTAATCACAACAATAGGCATACAAATAAATTTTTAATTCAGCAAAAATCACATACTTTGATTACTATACGGGGCAAGAGAGAGGTCCGACACGCCCAACATAGGGCGCGGCCATTTTGAACGCTATGACACAGTTTATAGCTAAAGAATCAGATCGCTCACTCTGCATCGGCACTTTTTATCTCAATGTTCCAGTTTATACACTGCGCAACTCAGAAAATACAATATATGACAACCGCCTATAATAAAACAGCAGTCTTCTGCGTATCCTGAATTTATATCCCTGGAGTGGATGTTATTTTGGAACTTTCAACTGGTCCGAGTGAGCTAACTGATTCTTTAGCAATAAACTGTGACTCCAAAAATAATATTCACTAGGCAAGTTCGGATAGTCAGGGGCTGGAGCGGGACAAATTTTAGGGTGCTTTTAAATGACATTTAAGCGTGCTAAACTGTCACTAATCGGACTAAACCGAACGATAAAAGGGTCGTTTGGAGTTAAAAGTGTTAAAGGAGTTAAAGGAACTTGGCAGACCGAACGCAATGATAGACACTGACAGCAGCAAGCAAAATATCAGGTGCGTTTTAATCATCCGCTTCTGCTTCCGGAATTGTCGGTTCAGTCGTTCTAACCTGTCAGATTAAAACAAGAAAACCGACAATTCCGAAGCAGAAGCGGATGATTAAAACGCACCTATTAAAAATATTGCGCCAAGATGTAGGCAACACGTAATAAGGGTTCAAAATGGCGGAGTTTTCTATCTCCTTTTAAAAGGCACTCAGAAAGCTGCGCAGTGCGACCATTCTCCGTATAGTAAAAGAAAATCAAAGTATGTGGCAAAAATTGATTCATATTTTTAATAATTTTTGCCTACTAATCGTGTATAGATGTGTTTCTGTGCAATGTTAAGAGGAAGAAAATGTCATGCCTTACGTGATTTTTTTTTAAACCAACTTTGCTCAGGATTGGGATTGGTACAGGTGCCATTCGATAAAGTTCAATGTTTTTACAAGCTTTTAGAGTATATTTCATTTCAGATGGCGGTAAAAATTTACAGTGGGCTCTTGGGCTATTATGATTTGATTGTGTATGCGCCAGGGATACAAATCCGAGTTGCGCAGTGTATAAACTGGAACATTGTGATCAAAAGTGCCGACGCAGAGTGAGCGAACTGATTCTTTAGCTATAAACTGTGCCGTTAGTATGTGTATCATGGCCAAACAATAAATATTGTGTATATATTTGGCGAATTTTGAATTCAGTTCCAGCTTTTAGGTTCGGTGTTGCCGTCTCTACAGATAGTTTGTGAATCCACAGACAAAGCTCATAGTAGCGTTGGAAATAGTCCGTTTTTAAAATACATTTCTACAAAAAATTTATTTCTAATGAAAGTTGTTTTTATTACGAAACAAAACAAAATTCACAGAAAAATAAATAGGGTGTGCATAAAATTGCTATAAAATGGGTAGTGTTACAGAATAAATACAAAATCCAAGCGCGAAATTCTGAAACGAGCTTGTCGATTTTGGTCCTAAATTATAACAAACACTCTTAAAATTTTTATTTATTATATTTTTAGTTTTAATTATTTTTATTTACATTTATTTGTTTATTTATTTTAATATATTGATTTTTTAATTAAAATAATTTTTATTTATTTTTATTTATTTTTATTTATTTTTATTTATTTTTATTTATTTTTATTTATT